CAGCAGTCAGACAGTGAGCGTGTTCAGCCCGGATTTCTCACACCCATGTTAGGGCAGCTAACAAAACGTGTTCAAATGAAGTCGATTTTGATAAGAAAAATTCATTGTGGGGCACCGACTTCTGAAGGCCGGTATACTACAAATTCCTTTCTTTTTCTTTGTATATTGTTTGCAGTAGACCGTTTACTTTGGGAGCAATTTAACTATTCCAGGTTTCCAACGGATATGTTCTCGGTGGTGGAGCAATATGTATGGAGCTGTTGACGAAGCAAGGATGGTCATCAGCATATTCGATCGAGTCGCTCATCCTACAGATAGCAGCGACTCTTGTCAAGGGGAAGGCTAGGATACAATTTGAGGCTAAGGTATGCTTTCACCATACGCATTCCTGTCTAAGTATTCAGTGGGTGTTTAGTTCGCAGTGGACTAAATGCTTGGGAATCATCGCCTGTGAGCGATGATTCCCTCACAACCTCTTATCCGGTGGGGCGGGCCCATGTTGAAAAATAAACGGAGATAGGACAGCTGCATGACCCTCGCCCACGGTCTTTTGATAAAGACTTTAGAAAGCTTCGGCTATCTCTTTACCCTGCACCTCTGTCTCAGAAACACAGGGCGGAAGTGGTGTAGTGGCAAGTGGCACGCTTACCACGCGAGCGGTCCGGGGATCAAATCCTGGGTCGTGAGTCGCCCGGGCCAACCAAGCCTTCCATCCCTCCGGGGTCGGTTAATTGGTACCAGACTTGTCTGGGAGGATAAAAACACTGACTTGTACATCGGCTGGCCCGCAAGTCATTGTATAGGCCACATCGCATTCAAACGCCACTACGAATGTACAAATGGAAGTAGAATGCGTGCCGCATCCCAAAAAGGGATTGATCAACGGCAAATGCTTTATCCTTTATCCTACAGGAAAGGGGATTGTGGCCCAGAGCTGTCAAGGCTCCCAAAACTGATAAAGCGCTTGTCCCTTCCTTGCATAAGTAAAATAGTTCACACACCCCGGACCCTCCCATTACCAAGTGAACTACTGTCACCGGAACGTCGAAGTCTTGCACACTTTTGCGTATCTCGTCGCATTGCCTTCACAATAAATTACTCAACTTTATTCTTACCTTCATTATAGGCGCAATACAGTCTTGCAAGAGCTCAGCAGTCGTTCAAATCACTGGTACAGATTCATGCTAAGTCGGGCTGGTATACACCGCCCACAACTGAGGGATAACAGTCTAATTTTTCATGAAGCATGTCTTTGGTCTTGCACAACGGTTTATGTTCTTTATCATTTCACGTCTAAATCAGCTATCTTCACCATACTGACTTTTTCAGTTCGCTCTCTCGATAGACTGAATTATTATCACAATTTCATTTAGAAAAGTGTCAGGTTATCCGAATTTATTGTTTAGCACCGAAGACCTGTTCAATTTACAGCGACCGATATCTCTGTTTTTGATACCTATAGATTCAGTTTTTATTGCAACAGATATTTTCTCAATTTAGTCGTAACTGGTCATAAGACACTAGAATT